CAGGCTCACCGCATTCACATCGGCCAGCTCGAAGGGTGACATAACCATTGTCATGTGCAAGCTGTTCCGTCCACAAACAGTCGCAGACAGCAGCTTGAACTAAATATTTCTGGTGCTTGTTATATTTAGTCTTGGACCTGAGGCAAGACCTAACCACGTCCAGGTTGGCCCTTACTCCTTCAGCAAACCCCCACCTCTCCCCAAGCGGCTTCTCATGGGCAGCCTGGAACGCGGTGCTGAACATTTTACCTAGCATCGCAGGAGAGCATTGCGCGAGCTGGATGGTGATGCCATCCTGGTTGACCCACGCAGTGGCTGAAGCAGGCTTCCACCTTACGCGAGCAAGGCACAGCGGGATCCTGGAGATCGGTCCGCGGGTTTGGGCCCAGGAAAGATCCGACTGAACCTGGGAAAAAGCGCGGTCCCACATACGTTCTAATCCGGTTAGGTCTACGAGTGCATCAGACGGGAATGCAACAGCATGCCATGCCATCTTGGACCACTGGAGTACGGGTGCCATGGCCTCACGCACCGCGGGCTCGCCGTGCAAGGCCAGCTTGGCGCGCAAGCTCGCACCCCTCGTCGCAGGCGCCAGGTAGGACATGGCCTGGCGACGGATGGCGAGCAGCTCCTGGTCGTCGACGCCGTTGACCTCGACCCCATAGTGAGCTGCCATCTTGATTCCAGTGGTGTAGACTCTACCAAGCCTCTCATCAGCTTTCCTCATGGACCTGAGCTTGGCCGCCTTGGCCAGGCGCTGGGAGGACTTCCGCAAACGCGTCTTCCTCTTGCCAGCAGTGCGGGCTTGCCCCCGTCGCCGTCCACAGGCGAAGTCCGTGCCGAGGTAGGCGACCGCCGGTTTGGACTTATCTTTGGCGAGGCCGAGCTTCGCGGTCACCTCCAGGCCAAGGGCACTATCACTGGCCACGACGGCGACCTTATCATTGAGAGTGGCCTGGAGTCGTCGCGAAACGGCTTGGAACTGCACGCCCGCTTGGACCGCGACGCCTGCGACGATGTCTCGGTCACGGCCGCTCACGTGGACCCCAGTGTCGTCGATGTAGTTCATGAAATCAACCGACGGGTTGCGGCGCACGAACTGGTCGTACTCTGTGATCGTGAAGGCTCGAACCGCAACATCAGCGAATGCACAACCTGCTGGTAGCCCGAACGTGGCGAACAAGACTATGCAGCTGTGGTGCAGGCCCAGGCGAATGATGCGCGGTGACTGCCGCGTGTTGAAAATTAACTTGAGAATCGGCATGGGCATGCCGCAGGCCAGGAGGCGACCACGTAATACCTCCAGCGGGATGCCCTCGTAGAACTTGCTGTAGTCCATCAAAATCAGCCGGCTATAATTGTTCTGGCTGACCTCGGCCTCACTGCGCGCAGCCTGCAGCCAAGACAGATCGAGCGCGCTACGGCCTGCCAGGGCGCCCCAGTACGGGCGGCGCAGCTGCTGGTGAAGGCCATCGAGGTCACGGCGACGAAGCCTCTGCCAGACGCGGTACATGCCCGAGTACAATATTATCAGTCGGTGGCCCTGGTCGGATTTAGCCAACATGGGCATGACAATGAAGCATAACTGGCGAGGCAATAGACCAATCCGTTCGCACGCCTCGAACAGCGCTGCCATGGCGTCGAGCGCAGCGCGAGGAAGCAGTCCAAAGTGACGAGGATGCACTCGATCAATACTGGCTGTTGTGGTGCGCGGGAAACTGTTGGCCACATCACGGATGGTGTCCGCACTGGCCCTGTCCATTGCCGACCTGTCAGGCGTCCAGGCTTGGCTCGGAAACTGGCTAGCATGCCACAGCTTCTCATACTTGCGGACCTCAGCCTCGACGATATCATGAGGATGCGCCGTGAGCCCTCCAGCAGTACGAACTACCGTAGGGTGGGGCGCATTGGGTACTCGGGTAGCGCGGTGAAGTCCTCGCGCACCATTGGACGATGCCGCGTCGCACCAGTCCTGCCACCGTTGGCGATCATCTTTTACTTCGTCCAGCTCGGCCTTCCGTGCATCAGCAGCGATGTCTCGACAGTACTGCTCAAGAATATCAGCAGCTTGGTGGCTATCACGGTGGAGCCGAGGAGCGACGCAGGTCTCGAAATCGTCGTCCTGATAGACGGCTCCAGTCTGGTCGCCGAACTGCGCATTGATGCCAAAGAACTCGTCCTGGTCAATGTCAGGCTCGTCGAACTGATCAGGAAACAGGCCATCAACTTGCGGGGCTTCCTGACCTGAAGGGCCATCCACGACAGCGGCCGCAGGGGCCACTTCAGAGCGTAAATGTGCTGTCGACGGTGCTGTTATCGGGCCTTCGACTCCAGCTGCACGAAGTAAGGCATGACCTGCAGCAACTCGCGCCTCAAGTACACTGGCATCCAGACGTGCGCATAGACCCTGCCCGAAATATTCAGCCGTCGAGAACACATCCACCTCGGCTTCCAGACAAGGTACCGTAGTGTGCTTAAGCCTCATGAGCTTGCACCAGTTGTCCAGGGACTGTGATAACCATGTCCAGCCGCGAGAGATCGCCTTGGCATCGGCAACTGTCTCGGGGCGGTGATTGTAATCAACCCATCTGGCTTTGGGTGGCGCTCCCCACGAGGCGCTGCTGGACATACTCTGGCCAGTGACTGCACTGACCTCCTTCTCGGCGGCATGGGCGAAAGTAGCCCACGCTCGCGACAAAATACACCATGCCTCACGGACAGGCTTCTGGCGACTAGCATCGACGGCCGCCTCAGCCATCACGGAGGGGTACTGCCAGTCAGGGCCTTCTCGTGCGGGACCAATGAACCGTTCGGTCCCATACTTCTTCGCCACCGAGTATACCATGCACTGCTGCCTTAGGCCTTCCGTGGAAAGGCCCAGTGATGAGATGGGACGGTGAGGTCGCTTCGGCCACGAGGTGTCCACGTGGACGGACTCGAGCAACCTCTTGGCAACAGTGTTGACAGCAAAGAAGTCGATCGCACGGCTAGACTTGGGTGTAATGCATGTGGGCAGGGACGGGGCCACAAGCACCATCTTGGCTTCTCTCGGGAAGCCTGACTCCTCGATGTCCCTCGGCGTAGCGTTCCAGTCGCCGGCCAGGGCGACGGGGTCGGCAATCTCGGAAACCCGCGTGCCGATCTGAGCCAGGATGCGCGCATTCCTGCCCTTGATACCCTGGTTGACCACCAAGTAGAAGCTGACGATGTGCAACGGCGGCCAGCCAGGAAGGTGCACAACTGCGTGCAGCGCGCGGCGATGATGGAGGACAGCGGGGGCGCAACCTGGTCCCCGAAGTCCAACATGGTCCCGGGCAAGAACAGCAACACCCTGCGTGGGCGTTGTTCCCTTGGACTTGGCGCCAGGGCTAGTGAGACATTTCCAACCACGGCGACCTGCCCAGGCAACAAAATCATCATTATCATCATCATGGAAACCAACTTCCTGCGCGACGAAGATTGTCGCTGACGAAGCCTGTATCTTTTCCTTCAGCGTGCGGATGCCACGGTTGGCGTTGAAGGATTCCACAAAGAACTGGCTTCTAGGGTCTGCATTCGGTGGTGGCCGAACTTGACCGTGATGGACAGGCAGGCTGCTGACTAAGACAGGCAGGTCAAAGGCGCTGCCGTTTGTCTCGGTGCATGGCCAGTAGATTGTCATGGAACTTCTGCATGAGGTCTTCGTTGCTGTCGGCAGGGCTGCCCCCTTTGACGAGCTCGAAAAGTGCTTTAGACTCCTCAAAAGTGGGGTCGAGGTCCCGCTTGACGCCGCCACCAGAGGAGCCGTCATCACCAGGAGCAGGAGGCTCAGCAGGACTCTCAGCGGTCTGCTGTGGCATTGGGGCGTCCACAGGCTCGGGCGCGGTTGCCTTCCGCACCTGGCCCTCGAGGTCCGCGAACAACTTGGCAGTGGCCTCCGATCCGATGGACTCGAGGGCGGTACGGAGCTCCTCGGGGAGCCCATCCTTGTCGAACTTGAACTCAGGGAAAAGGGACCGCTCTGGGGCGACAGCCTTGGCGGTCTCAGCGAACGACTTCTTGTAGCCATCAATCTCCGCCTCCTTGGTGGTGATTGCGGCCCTCTTGTTCTCCAGTGCAGCCTGGAGGTCATGAACTTGCTTGGACATCTTCTCAGCCTCGCGCTGGAGCTTGACCAGCTGCGATTGCGCGTTCTTGAGCTTATCCTGGGCCCTGCGATGGGCAGCCTCAGGCGTCTGGACACTCTCGAGCTGCACACGGAGGGTCTCAAGCTCAAGCTGGTGCGCCTGCTTGACGGTAGACGGCAGCGACGGCTCCTTGAGGTACTTTTCGTAGTAGGTGATCGACGAGAGAATCTCCGCACGGGAAGCTCCTGCATCCTTCGGCCTCTCAGCACCTGTACCCTGGTCGGGCGTCGGGTCCTTGAGGCCTGTGTTGGCCAACTTGCGCTCGAGCGCGGCCACTTGCTTGCGGAGCTCCTCATGCTCGTCCCGTGCCCATGGCGCTGGTGTGGCACGACGGCCACCAAGCGCGGGCTTCCTCCCTTGCACTTCCTTCTCAGCTCTGGCATGTGCGGTCTTGGCTGCGGCGACGATGCGAGCTGGGGCAGCGGTGCCGCAACGGCAGCGAACACGGCACGCCCAGTTCTTGTCTGCGCCACAACTGCATCCCCAGTACGGCGTCTTGGGGCCGCGCAGCACATCGGGGACGGGAGGCGGCGGGACCATGGGGCTCGCGAGCCCTCCTGCTGGAGGACCCCTGAACAGTTGGATTGTCTGGCTCGGGAAACAGAGCTATCCCACTTTGGCGCGAGGGCGCGGAAGCCCCCAAGTGCAAGCATCTTGAGCCAAAATGGCTACGGAGGAGGTGGAGGAGGAGGAGGAGGAGGAGGAGGAGGAGGAGGAGGAGGAGGAGGAGGGAGGAGGAGGGAAGGAGGAGGAGGAGGAGGAGTCTCGAGGTCCTGGTCGGAAGGCGCCCCGGCGTGCGCCTGGCGTGGCCTGGCTGGCAAGGCCGGCGGAAAGGCCGCGCGGCCATATGCTGCTGCCGTGCCGGGTCGCCCTGCTGTGGGCCTCGGCGGCGACCGCGGGCCTCTGCTCCGAGAGGCCCCCCGCCACGAGGCGGCCGTCCTGCTTCCCCAGAGATCCAACGTATTGAAAAAATCAAGACGGAGGTTTTTCTAAATTTTCGGCCTCTGGCGGCCCTCGCCGGGCCCCGGGACTGTCAAAAAACGACTCAGGATGAAAAACCGGTCCTGGGGAATGGGTCGAGACTTCTGGGGACCCCGTCCTGAAAAAATCACGACATCGGATCTCTGGGTCCCCAGGCATGAGTCGATTTAATCGATCAGTCAACGTCGTCGCTCGTCGCTCGTCGCGTCGTGCGCGCGGGCGCGGCTGTGGTGCCGGAACCACACGGCGGGGGGGGGCGTCACGTCATACCCCCCCCCGCCCTCCCCCCCCCCATGACGCCCGTCCTCGCCGAACATAAAGAAACGCCTTCTTACACGTAAGCCCAGACATGATGGCGTCGTAAGAAATTCAGGACGGAGGTTGTTCGCCGTTGTTGGCTTCATGGAGGCCCTCGCCGGTCCCCGGGGCCGTGAACAAACGATTCAGGGTGAAAAACGGGTCCCGGGGAAAGGATCGGGACTTCCAGGGACGCCGTATTGAAAAAATCAGGACGTCGCAGGTCTGGGAGAGTGGCCCTTCGCCGGAGTGACCTTTGGTGCGGGCCCACTGGGCCCGCCCTGATCGCTGAACGCGATGCGATGCGACAGCACTGGCCTGCGCGCGTGGATTTGCCCCCGTCCCCCCCCCCCTTCCGCCCCCGCAAGCTGCGCACCAGAGGTCACTCTTGCCAAGGGTCACTCGTACGTGCAGCCGAATGAGCGCGTCGAGAATCACCGAGCGCGTTCCATGACTCACAGAAAGTGCCATTCATCCTGCTTCCCAGACCCGTTCGCGCTGTGTGGAAAACAAAAAAAACGGTAGGTTTTTCGCGAAATTCGGCTTCTGGGGGCCCTTCGAGGGCCCCGGGATTGTCAAAAGATGACTCAGGATGAAGAACCGGCCCCAGGGCAGATGTCCAGACCTCTGGGGGTCGACGTTGTGAAAAAATCACGACGCTGGGGGTCTGGGTTTCTCGCACATGATCGCGTCGAAAATCACCGAGCGTGTACCACCGAAGAAGGAACAACGGCATAAACATAAACTTTTGGGCGCTCCGCGCGGATTTCTTGGATCCGCGCTGGGACCCCCCAGGCGGCCCCTCTGTCGCCGCCCCTAGCGCGCTCCGCGCGCCAGGGAGGGGGGCCCAGAGCGGATCCAAGAAATCCGGGCTGAGCGCGAAAAGTGTATGTTTATGTCGTTCTTTGCTTCTACCGACATGACCGCGTCAAAAATCACCGAGCGCGTTCCACGACTCACAGAAAGTGCCTACTCGCAAGCGTCCAAAAACCAAACGTTTGCCTCGATGCAGGGGAGCCTGTGGGACTCGATGCAATGGATCCAGGCCTTTTGCGAGCGGCTACTCTGCGAGCAGTGGAACGCGCTGGTCAAGAAAAAATCAAGACGGAGGTTGTTCCTCGTTTTCGGCCTCTGGAGGCCCTCGGCGGGCTTCGGGGCCGTCAAGAAACGACTCAGGATGAAAAGAAACGATTCAAGAAACGACTCAAGAAACGTCAAGGAACGAATCAAGGAACGACTCAGGATGAAAAGAAAACGACTCTAGAAATGACCCCGGGGCCGTCAAGAAACGACTCGAGAATCGTCCCGTGGAAAGGGCCAGGATCTCTTGAGGCGCCGTGCTGAAAGATATCGTGACGTCGCGTGTTTGGGTTTGCCCCTCCTCTCAAGGACAACGTTAGTTGGGGACGGGCACAGGGCGGGATGGGCTCGAGGCTTGTGGGCTTCTCGTCTGTTCTCGGCGGCTTGCCAGGCCTCGGGGTGCTCTCCAGCAGCTGCGCCTCGCCGAGAGCGTTCCAGGGGTGACGGGATCGTGCCGAAGGGCCGCTGGAGACCCGAGTTATGATCCGAAAGTCAGACCCCCTCAAGCCGTGACAAACAATAAACCATATCGGGAGGTCCTTGATATTTTCGTCCTCTGGGGGCAACTCACCGGGCCCCGGCACCGTCAACAAAAAGGCTCGGAGCGAACGAAGAGCTGGTCCTGGGGACGGGGTCGAGATCGTGCGGGTCGACGGTGTGAGAAAAGCATGACGTGCAGGGCCTGGGTTCGTCGAAGAAGAAACAAATAACAAATAATGGCATAAGCCCTCCTCCTCCCCCTCCTCCTCTTCGCGTGGCGCTACACTGTCCTGCTCACCTTGTTGTGTCGACGACGGAGTGGACGCGGAAATCTGCAGTCCAGCTTCCCCGCTTTCCCGCCGAGGTAGGGCCCACTCTGGCGCGAAGAGGCGAATGGTGGTTCGACGTTCTTGGGATGTCAAAAAAAAAAATGGCATAGGCATGATTTCTCGGACATCCGCGCGGATGTCCTGGATCGGCGCGGGGCCCCCTTGGCTGCGCCTCCGGCGCCGCCCGTGGCTCGCTCCGCTCGCAAGGGAGGGAGTTCGGCGCCGATCCCAGAAGTCCGTTCGGACTTCCGCGACATTATGTCAGTGCAGCTATGTTTTCGTTCGGAGGAGAAGAACATGTGAATAATAATAGCAATGCTAAAAAAACGACTTAATAATAAGGATCGCGATAATCATTCTATGCATAGTCGTACTAATTCTACCAAGAACGAGGATGCTAATAATAACAGTAATAATGCGAATGCTGCTAATCGTGCCCATCATAATCACACGACTGATAATAATAGCAATCAGAACAAAGCAGAACAGTCGTAATACTAACAACAACGAAGGGTACGACAAATAAGAACACATAGAAACATACGGTTGATATTCATGATAAGCACAAAAAGAGTAATGATGATAATAAGAATTGTAATCAGAAGAAGAAGAAGAAGCGTACGAACGGCATGGACACGTCATTGGCGCTGCAGGCAGAACAATCAGTCAGGGTAGCGCCAGCTTGGGGCGCGGCGATCGGCGCGTCGGCCGGCCAGAGCTGGGGCCCCGGAGGTGGGCCCCGGACCCTCGTGCCCCCCGCTCGCGCCCTGGGGAAGGTACCCTGCGCGCAGATGAGACACCGTCGGCCCGGATTAGCAGGTCGACCCTGCCAGCTCAAGGGTACCCTCGTGTCCCTGTGCCTCGCGACGCGTGCCTTCTTACACTCCTATGGCGATGTGGCACTCGGAAGGGTCATGTGTCCTCTCGCGTGTCCTGTCCAATCAAGGCCGACCGTGTGAGATGGCTCGGATCGGCGCGACAGTCGGACCGAGGTCTAAGATCGAGGTGGGTTCGGGGAGGGTTCCCAGAGGTTCGAGGTTCGAGGCTTTCGGGTTCGAGGTTTTCGGGCGTGTTCGTAGGTTCTCGGCGGTTTTCCAGCTTCGGGATGCGTTCCAGCAGTTGCGCCTCGCCGAGAGCGTTCCGGGCGTGCCAGGATCGTCACGAACGGCCGCCTGAGACCCGAGTTTTGACCCAAAAACCAAATTCGGAGGCGGACCGAGGTAGAAGATCGAGATCGGTTCGGGGAGGGTACCCTGATGCTCTTCGTGCCTGTTGGGGAGGGTGCCCTTGGCTGTTCTGTGTGTCCTGGCCGGTCCAGCGTTCTTGAAGGGCCTCTTTCTGGCCTAGGTCCGAGCGCGCAGATTGGATTGTTCGGATCGGCGCAGCAGTCGGACCTGGGTATAAGGTCGAGGTCGGTTTGGGGAGGGTACCCTGACTCCTGATCCGCCCTACTTTGGGCGATTTCGAAAGTAGGGCGGAAATTTCCGCCCTACTTTTGAGGCCCCTTTGAGCGTCGATTTCCGCCCTTGAGGCTCCTTTGGCGTCGATTTCCGACACAATTTTAGGTCGGAAAATCATCCAAAGTACGGCGGATCAGGAGCCAGGGTACCCTGATGCTCTTCGTGTTTTGGGGGGCGTTCTTCTGCATCCTGGGGAGGGTACCCTTGGCTGGTCCAGGCCTGCTGGATGGGGTCGGAGTAGATGGGGTCGGAGAGTCGCGCCGCATCGCCGCTGCATCGCCGATGCGGCTCGATGCGGAGCCCAATTTGCTTCACGTCGACGTCGCCGATGCATCGCCGCCGTCGACGATGCGTCGCTGGTGCATTCCCCATGAATTGCCGATGCCTCGGCGATGCGGCGCGATCATCCGACCCCATCTACTCCGACCCCATCTAGGAGGCCTCTAGCTGTTCTGTGAATTTTGGCCGGCGGAGGGTCTCGCGCTCTTGAAGGAGGCTCTTCTGGCCCAGGTCCGACTGCAGCCCTTTTTTCGTAGCGCGCGAAGCGTCCTCCTCTTAGTCGTCGTGGAGGACGAACACGTCGGCAGGGACTAGCTTCCTGTCCCATCCCTCCCCGTGGGACTCCTTCTTGGGAGGTGTTCGGGGCTTTCCCCCTTTCGGGCCTGTGCCCGAGTCTGCCAGCGTCGCCCGCCTGCGGCGCACGCTGTCAGCCGCGCTTTGAGAAACTTCTCTTCCTCCTCCTTCTCCTCCTCCTCCTCCTTCTCCTCCTCCTCCTCCTCCTCCTCCTCCTCTCCTCCTTCCCTCCTCCTCCTCCTCCTCCTACTCCTACTCCTCCTCCTCCTCCTCCTCCTCCTCCTCCTCCTTCCCCTCCTCCTCCTCCTCCTCCTGATCCACGCGAAGGGGACGTCGTGCCAGAGAGCTGGGCCCTCTCGGAGAGTTGCGCGCCCATAAGTGCGCCAGTCGGCCAGTGCACTCTGTGCTGAGAGCCTCTTGAGGGCTCGCATCGTGGGTAGCAGGGTTTCCGACTGTGCTCGATTTCTGGTGGTCAGCTCGTCATCCGAACTAAACAGGTACTCCATGAGATTCAGTTCAGCTCAGCTCGGCTCGGCTCAGCTCCTCCTCCTCGTCCTCTTCCTCCTCCTCCTCCTCATCTGCCTACTCCTCCTCTTCCTCCTCCTCCTCCTTCTGCTCTTCCTCTTCCTCCTCCCCATCCTCCTCCTCTTCCTCCTCCCCCTCCTCCTCCTGCTCCTCCTCATCCTCCTCCGCCTCCTCCTCTTGATCCTCCTCCTCCTCCTTCTCCTCCTCTGCCTCCTCTCTCCTCCCTTCCTCCTCCTCCTCCTTCCCTCTTCCCCTCCTCCTCCCCCTCCTCCTCCTCCTGCTCCTCATCATCCTCCTCCGCCTCCTCTTCATCCTCCTCCTCCGCCTCCTCCGCCTCCTCCTCCTCCTCCTCCTCCTCCTCCTCCTCCTCCTCCTCCTCCTCCCCTTTCCTCTCTTCGCCCCTCGCCGAACCACGCGCGGCAAGGCGGCCTCCTTCGCTGCGCGTCAACAGCACCGCGACCCTGGCGGAGCTCGAAGACTCCGGCGCTGCCCGGGGGGGGGTCAGATCTCCGAGGTTCTTCGCCAGAGGGGAAGCTCGGACTGGACGAAAGGGGGGGATTGGGAAAGAGGGGGGTACGAAATTTGCTGCATGCAGCTGGTTTCGGCCTCGCCGAGGGGCCCATTCCCTGATACATGGGCGCCTCCCGGCGCCGGGAGGCGCCGGGAAAATCAGTTACGTGGGCTGATTCTCACCCCCCCCCTTTGCTATCCCCCCCTGTCGCCCGACCCGAGAAGCGGGTCCCGAGGGAAGCAGGTCTTTCGCCGTTTCTGGGCTCTCGGGGCCCTCCACGGGCCCCAGGACTGTCAGAAGACGACTCGGGATGAAGAGCCCGTCCTGGGGGAAAGCGCCAGGGTCCAGGGCCCGTTTCTCTCAGGACCCGTTTCCCCCATGCTAAGATCTGATGTTCTTAATTAGTCCGGGCGTTTTTCGTAGATTTGGCCCCGGGGCTTGGGGCCTGCGATCAAGCCCCAGGATCATCAAAAGACTGATCCAGGGGGGTCTGGACTTTTCCGTGCACTGAACAAATCAAGTTGGCGGATGTCGGCGGTGGAAAGAAGGAGGGACGCCACGGGGTCGGAATTCTGGCCCCCGCTTCTTCTCGTGGCACAACAAAACATAAACATCCAGCCGCTCCAATGTTTTCGATACATGGGCCCCGGAGGTCTGGACCACTTCCCCAGGGCCAGTTGTTCGTCTTTGAGTCTTTTTTTGACGGGCCTCGGGACCGTCAGGAAACAATTCAGGACGAACAACCGGTCTCAGGGGAGTGGTCCAGACTTCTGGGGCCCATGCATCGAACAAATCGGAGGCCAGCCCGTCTACGAAGGCCCCCATGCGGCTCCAGAACAGGCTCCGACGGCCTCTTCGTACGGGGCTAGGACGAGGATAGATCCTTTCCAGAGCGTTCCAGAACGCTCCTAGAGCGTTTTCGGAACGCTCTAAGGAGCCCGCGGCGCCAGGTACATCCTCCAGGGCTGAAGGATCTCAGAGAAACTCGATTGATCCTCACCCGATTCCAGCCTCGTCGTGGCTTCGTCTGAACAGTGAGAGGTGGCAAGCCTTCTCGGAGGGTGGCTGGACCTCTCCGAAGGCCCCCCCTGCGGCTCCAGAGCAGGCTCCGAAGGCTTCTCAGAGGGCTGGGCGCCTTCTGAACCTTCTGGAAGGGCCCGTCGCCGCCCTCGTCGCCGTCGTTGATGCTTGGGCCCGTCGTCGACGTCACCGCCGTCGTCTCCACCTCCGTCACAGTCGTCGTTCTCGTCCTCGTCCCATCCTCGTGCTCGTCCTCGTCGCCGTCGCCGTCGTCGTTGTTTTGGGTCAAGACGGAACCCAGGGAGCGCTGGAGACCTCACGTCCTGGCCAGGCTGCCTTGCCTGGCTTGAGACACCCGTCTCTCGCGTGCAGCAAGACTTCGAACTCGACTCTAGGAAGAGCTATCCTGCGCGCATTTTGCAGCGGACGGGGATGGCTGCCGTCCCGCTCCAGGCCCCCGTGCCCGCTCTGAGAGACGCGACGGCAGCGGCGGAGGCGCCAGTTGGGGCCTGGGAGCGCGACCAGCGTCGACGTGTTGCAGCCCAGGCAGTGAAGCACGACCCGATCGACGGCGACTCCGTCACGGACGACGGTATGGCCCTCGGTGCGGAGGCGGCTGCGCCAGGAACAGCCCAGGTTGCCGCTCCAGGCCCTCGCCCGCCACCGCCCGAGGATCCCGCGCAGATGGGCTTGGCGAGATACATCATCAGTTCACTGGAGGTCTCGACGGGCAGTCGCGTCCAGAGCATAGAATCCAGCGTGACCAGTCTCAAGAAGACCTCGGAGGCGAGTGCGCGGGACATTGCGAGTATCCAGGCGAGGCTCAGGTCGCAGGAGGCGGGGCTGGAGGCGATCGAAACGGGCAGGGCCTCCTCGGCGGCGATCACAGCAGCTTCCCGTCCAGGCTTAGGTGGTGCTCCCTCGATGGCGGACCCCTGGAGCGCGTACCTGCAGCAGCAGCGTGACGGCGTAGGAGGCCCGCCACCACCAGCCAACCGCCCGCAACGATTGGGCAAAAACGCCAAGCACGTGGTTTTCGTGGCGGATTTCCCAGGCACCTGGGACAAGGAGGATGTTGAGCGACACCTGACGACGGAGCTGGCCAAGTCTTCTTCCTTGGAGAGCCAGGGCATCAGAGAGATCTACGGGGTGGGCAGGTTCTGTGATCAGGCCAAAGTAGTCTTCGCGGACAACGACAAGGGACAGAAGATTCCTTGCCAGGGCGCCCGTAACAGTATGTTATGGCACAAGGTAGACCAGGAGCCCCATGAGGTGGATATCAGCCGCAAGGTGAGCTTCGCGGTGCGCATCCTCGGGGAGTTCGGCGTGGCAAACGGGCTGTGCACGGAAGAGAACAAGATGCGCACCTTCGATGGAGACCGGGCCAGGTGATCTACCGCAAGAATAGCTTAGGGCGCCCTCTCTCAGGCTGCTGCTGCGCGCGCGGAACACGGACTTGCTCGAGATCTGCCAGGACCCAATGACGCTCGCCTTACTGAACCAGGAGCTAAGTGAGATGAAGCTTCAGGACAGGCTCGGCGAGATCAACGACCCACCGAGGGCACAATGATATCGAGTACGTGGGAAGGGCTATGCTAAGGACATCAGGGATCTCACAGTTCTTGGGTGGAATGCGAGAGGTGTCCTTGCTAGACAGCGCCAACACGTGCTCGATACTCTTGCAAGCGAACTCGCACCATATAATTTATCCTTTTTCAAGAATGGTGCGTTTCTGGTGGCGCTGAGCAGTCCTACGACCGCTATGTCGTGCACGTAGCGCCCCCAGCGGGGGCTTGGCAACGGTGCGCGATAGATAGCAGTTCATGAATCGCTTGGACCTCCGGTCGTAGGCGAGCCTCAGTGTCACGGGCGCGCCATGTACTTGGATTTACAGCTCGACGTCTGGGGCCGCAATCGCGCGATCACGAATCATTTTTTTCGCGTATTGTACGATGTGAGTGCACAGAGACTATCGAGCAGCTTCGAGAGCGTTCGGTTTCCATGCCAGTTGTTTGCCGCGCCATTGTCAGTGCCGACGCCCAGGATGGTCGTTGGGATAACAGACGGAGATACAGACGGCCCTTTCTCAGCTTCTGAGATGACCTGGCGAGGAGAAGTGCTACATGATTTGATGACGGAGCTGATTCGATTTCCGCGAACACTTTCTGCAAGGGACAGCGGGGGCAATGCGCGCGTTTCTTCGACAATCGGAAGGGGCCGCAGCAGATCGACTTCATGCTCCTCCATCGCGACTGGTTGCGCAAGACTGCCTGCCAGGCCCGCTCCAGTGACGCTTCTGAGAGCGACCACCTGCCGACCCTCTTGCGCTGCCAGGCTGGTCAGGCCATCCCAACGATCGACGGCGCGTAGAGATCGCGCCAGATGATGATTTAACCGGCCCCCGGCGCAATCCTGTTGCCTGGCGACTTGATGACAGCCGTGAGTTCAACGGCAGGATCTGCGCGCCCCTCCAGATCAGCTACACGCCGCCAGATGCCCAGATGCACACGGAGGGCGACTACAGCAACGCCATGGGCATCTTCACGGACGGCTCCGCGCGCCGAGGACGTGGAGGGTCTTTGCATCGATGCTCTGATGCTGGTTGGGGCTTCGCTCCCTACCGCGTCGCAGAGCCCAGCGACAGGGGCGCGCCGCTGCTGGAGGCTTGCGGTCAGGCCACCACCATGCCGACCGACGCGCTTCGCGGGGGCCAGCTGCATCTCCTCGAACACTGGCGAGCTTTCCGCTATTGTGGAGGCGCTGCTGCGGCTCCTTGGGCAGCGCCAGTTGGCAGAGCCGTGGGCCCGCGATCGCGCCCGCACCCAGGCGGCCGGACTCGACTTGCGCGCGCACTCTGCTGCTGGAGGTGTTCCAGCCGAAGGAGAACTGCGAGCTCGCCGCGCTGGCCGCCCACCTCTGGAAGCAGTGCCTGCCCCACTTTGAGCTGATCATCAAATGGGTATAGAGCCACAACGGGACCTTCGGCAACGAGAGGGTAGACCGCCTGGCCAAGGTGGGGAGCGACAATCGCCTGACCCACCTGCACTGGAAGCGCCCGTGCCCGTCGAACGACTGGGGGGCCGAGGAGCACCGCCGCCTTAAGCGACGCCCGCTCCAACGCCTGCCGGCGCGTTCGGAAGCGTCGCCTGGAGGCCCTGCGGCGGGAGGGCGCTGGCGCCGAGCGGCGGGCCCACCTTGAGCCGCCGCCCGCGGGCGCCTGCCGCGATCGCGCGGGCGTCGCGCCGCTGGGGGCCTCGGCGACGGCGAGCTGCAGCGCTGCCGCGGCCGCCGGCCACGCCCCGCGACGAGGGCGGCGGAGGCCGCCGCCAGGCGACCCGCAGCTGTTGCAGCTCCAGGCCCCGGAGAGAACGCGTGCCCAGGAGGACGACCAGAGAGTCCGACACTTGCTGGGCCCGCCCGCGCGCGTGCTGAAGCGCGCCTCGCGGGAACGATACGCCGCAGTCCATCTGGGGCGCCAGCGCGACCGAGGGAAGGCGGAGAAGCCTTTCAAGAGCGGCCGCCCCGCGTTCAGCCTGGGCACCAGCGAGGGCGAGGCCACCGCTGGAGATGCGCGCAGA